TGTCTTCTTGTTACAGAATTGTAAGAGTTTTAATATATTCTATGTGAAAGTTCACTGAGATGCATGATATATATATTGAGAATATTTTCTCCCAGTCTGTGGCTTTTTATTTGTTTGCTTATTTATTTGTTTCATTTACTTGTATCATTCAACAAACAGAAGTTTCTCATTTTTAATGAAGTCTGGTCTTGAGATTTTTTTTTATTTTATGGGGTTTGTTTATCTTATTTAATAAAGATTGGCTTACAAAAGTTTGCATATATTTTCTTCAGTTTTTCAAGACTTTATACTTTTAGCTGATTTTTAGTTCTATGACACATTTCAAGTTACTTTTTGTGTATGTTATAAGGTAACACTCAAGGTTTTGTTTTGTTTTATTTTTCTACATGAGTTATCCATATGTTCCTGAATAATCTATTAAAAATTGTATGCTTTCCTCTGTTGTATAATCTTGGCAACATTGTCGAAAACAATTAACCATATATGTGTAATCAATTCTAGACTCTATTCTATTCCTCAAATCTATATGTCTATCCTTATTTCAGTTCCACACTATTTTTTTGTTGTTGCTGTTTATAAGCATTTTATTTTGGGATAATTTTATATCTATAGAGAAGTTGCAAAGATAGTTCAGAGAGTTCTCCTACACTCTTTACCAGTTTCTTCCAATGCTAGTATTTTGCAAAACTATGGTACATTTGTCAAGATTAAGAGATTAACATCATTATATTAATATTAACCAAAATGCAGAATTTATTTAAATTTCCCCAGTTTTTCCCACTAATGTCCTTTTCCTTTTCTGGGATCTATTCAAAGATACCACATTGTAGTTAGCTGTTATGTTTTCTTAGCATCGTTTCATCTGTGACAGTTTTGTAGTCTTGTTTTTCATGACCTTGACAGTTTCACAGAATTCTTAAATAAACCTCATTTTTTTTTAAGCAAGCAAGTCGTTGTAATTTTAAGGGCATAGTATTCAATCAGATATTTAAGATTCTGCAGTGTTCTCGAGATGATGTTCTAAATTCCAGATGTCAATGATCTCAGATAGAAAAATTTCTCATCCAAACAAAAACAACTTAGTGGGTGATCTATAGCAGGTATAAAATAATTGATGAAATGTTGGGATACAAGTCAGAAAATCTGAATTCTGTCACTAAAAGACGAGGTAATCTTGAGTATTCCCTGAGATATAATAAGCAAAGCACAGAGGGGAAAACACCACATGTGCTCACTGATAAGTGGGAGCTAAGAGAGAAAGCAGGGTGGAAAGAAAGACCACAGTGGTATGTTGGACTTGCAGAGGGAGAGAATATTCCTACGGATACAAAGTGGAGTGGGGGAAACGGGGATAGGGAGGGAGGTCAGGGATAATTAGGTAGGGGTCACAGGGTATAATCACAATGTGTGGTAATGGGCATGCTGCCAGCATGGATCTGGTCATCACATCTTGGACATGAGTGGTGACAGTCAGCTTTGTACTCCATGAATATTCATAACCAATTAAAAAAATAAATAAATTACTTAGTTGGTGAAAACATTTCATTAATAAAAATCAATTCTGGGCCGAGCCCATGGCGCACTCGGGAGAGTGCGGCACTGGGAGCACAGCAGCGCTCCCACTGCAGGTTCGGATCCTATATAGGGATGACTGGTGCGCTCACAGCGCTCACTGGCTGAGCGTGGTGCGGCCGGTCTCAAAAAGGACAAAAAAAAAAAAAAAAAAAAAACAAGTCCACACTATCTTAATTGCCATACTTTTATAGAAAGTTTTGAAATCAAGCAATACGAGTTCTCCAACATTTTTCTTAAAAAAAAAAAAAAATGTTTGGCTGCTCTAGGTATGTTGCTATAGTTGTGTTGACTCCATGGATTTAAGGAGAATTTATATTTAAAATATTGAATTTTGTAATCCATGAGCATACAATCTAATCTAATCTATCTCTGCATTTATACAGGTTGTCATAAATCTCACTCAGTAATATTTTGTAATTTTGTGTACAAGTTTTATGCATACTTTATTAAATTTACCCTGAAGTATTTCTTGGTTTTGTATGATATTGTAAATGCTGTTTTGATATCATTTTCCATTTTTTTGTTACTAATATAATCATGTGCCACATAATGACATTTTGGTAGATGACAGACCAATATGAACGGCAGTGGTCCCCAAAATTATAATACCATATTTTTACTGTACCTTTTCTATGTTTAGATATGTTTAGATGTACAAACACCATTGTGTTACAATTGCCCACAGTATTCAGTACAGTAACATGCTGTACAGGTTTGTAGCCTAGGAGCAATAGGCTATACCATACAGCCTAGTTGTGCAATGGGCTAAATATACCTCCTAGGTTTGTATAAGTGCATTCTGTGATGTTCACACAACAAGGAAATCGCCTAACTATGCATTTCTCAAAATGGATCCCCATTGTTAAGAGACGCGTATAGAAATAGAACTGACTTTCATATCTTGACCTGGTATATAGTGCCTTGTTGAATTCACTTATTACTTCCAGAGACTATTTTTTATATTGCTTAGGATTTCTACATACACAATCATGACATCTGTGAAACAATTTTGCTCTTTCCTCTCTAATGAATAGGACTTTATTTCTTTTAGTTGCCTTATTACTTAATACTTGCCAAGATGTCCAATAGAATTTTACTAGAGGTGAACAGAATCCTTTCCTTGTTATTTTTAGGGAGAAAGTCACAGTCTTTCACAATTGAGTATGAAGTTATTTGAAGATTATATAGTTGCAATATGAAGTTAGTTGCCTGTTACTTTATCTCTAATATCATTTTCATATCATTTTTATTTGACTCTCTGTATAGGATTCAACTCTCTGCTGATCCCCATCTGATCATTCAGGTTGTCCACATTTCCCACTAGATTCTGTAGCATCTTATGGATATTTGTTCTAAAGTCTGTGTCTAATAATTCTGACATCTGGATCATTTCTTAGTCAGGTTCTGTTCATTGTTTTATCTATTCACAATGGGTTGCATTATCTTGCATTTTGTGTGGATCATAATTTTTGATGGAATGCTAGACATCAAGTGTGGACCAATATTAAAGACCGAGGTAAATTGTATTCATACCTGGAAACGGTCAGTGTTCTTCTGTTATGCTCTTAGTGTAGGGTTGATACAATCTAGTAGAGACTTGACCTTTGTCTGTGTTTTTTGTTGCTATCATTATCATCAGGACACTGCAGGCTTCAAATTCCTCTGTAGCGGTTAGCTAGGTTTTTGTCCCTCTCCCAGCAGTTTTCTGCTCTTGCATATTACTCTTGCTAGACTCACTTCGGTGGTGGGGCCAAGGCAGTTCTGTGTTGTAATGATCCAATCACAGCCTCAGGCAAACTCAGATTAGGACTTTCTTTTTTTTTTTTTTTGTCTTTTGTCTTTTTCCATGTCTGGCAACGGATCGCAACCCTCAGTGTTGCCCCCGTACCGGACCGGGGACCGGCAACGGGATTGCAACCCTCGGTGTTGCTCCCGCGCCTCGCTCAGCCAGTGAGCGGGAACCAGTCTGTATGTGGGATCCGACCCCTCGGGCAGGAGCGCCGCCGCGCTTCCCAAGTGGCGCGCTTATCCAGTGCGCCACCGGGCCAGCCCCCAGATTAGGACTTTCTGAGGGAAAGTCCTGTCCCTCCACCACATGGCAACCAAGTTCTGCCTTATATCTGAAGTTAGTCCTGTGCAGAAGAGAGCTTACTGCCCCTTCTCCCATTGGAAGCTGACCTCTGGTTGGTTTCCTTGTAAGATCCTGGACCCAAGACATGGCTTCCTGCCCATTCCCCAAGAACAGAAGGGTTTTGCTTCTACCCATCTCTCATCAGCAAAGGATCTTCACCTAGGCCCTGCCTCTTTCCCAGAGGCAGACTGTTTTTCTTTCTACTCCTCCCCCAGAAGCAAAGGATTTTTGCCTGAGGCCAGGGTGACAGAGGGTTTGCTCCCTCTCCCCTGGCAGCTTAAGGCTTTTGCTTTCTTATGAAAGAAGTATCCACAGAAGTGGACAGGGCTTTGTACCTGTCCCCCAGAAATAGCTGATCACCTACAGGCCTGCACCACTGATTGGGGCTTCCGTTTAATGCACTGCCTTTAATATTTCCCCTGAAAAACTGGTAGGTGTACGTGGAAAAGAACATGAAAGTGGTTGTAAACTCCCCTTGTCTCTTCGGCCCTCTGATGTTCCAAACTGACATGCTTGTTCTCACCTAGCCTTTATGAATTTGTCAAAATGTTAGCTGATTTCTTCTGCCCCACTTTTATGGTGGCCCCCTCTTTCTCCCATGTCCTGCCAGAAGTTAAACATTTTGTGTGTCCTATCTCCCCTTAGAGGGGCCTGTCACTCCTTTTAATTCAATTTACTCAATCACCTTGTGACCTCAAACCTCTGCTGGCATCAGGAAAAGTAATGATTTTGTATATTCTCTGGCTCTTTTCAATTTTTACAGTGAAAACTATGTTCTGCATTTTAACTCTAAAGATTATTTTTAATCTGTAAAGAAAAAAATAATTTATAATAGCACTAACTACTTAACCTGGAATGAAAAGCATTCTAAATTCTCAATTTGTCCCCAAACTCATTAATTCAATTTGACAATTTTCAGTATGTATCCACAAATAGAAACTCTCTAGGGCCGGCCCGGTGGCGCACTGGAGAGTGCGCCGCTTGGGAGTGCGGCGGCGCTCCCGCCGAGTGTTCGGATCCCATGTGGAGACCGGTTCCCGCTCACTGGCTGAGCGCAGTGCGGGCACAACACCGAGGGTTGCGATCCCATTACTGGTCAGTAAAAAAGACAAAAAGGAAAAAAAAAAAAAAAAGAAACTCTCTAAAGTTTATATAAAATCTAGAAGATGGTAAGCTCTCACATGACTGTTTAAATGCACAATACTTTAGTCTCCATCACCAATAAATGAGAAAGGGAAAAACAAAAACAAAAAACAAAAACCCTTACACTCTTTTTCATTGTTTTGTTTTCCAGAAAGATGCAGAGGAGAAAAGTTTGCCACCACTCTTTTCCGATGTTCAAAATACTTTTCAGGTATGCTCGATATCTAAGCTATTAGAGTGGTGCTCCTTCAGAGTCTACAATACATCAAATGTTTCCTAAAATAAGCTTGGAATATAGCACAAAATAACATTACAGCATGGTTTTTAGCTTTCATTAACCCAAAGAATCAGAGTTAAAAGAATTTATAGAGGTGGTCTGAATTCCTATGCAATGCAAAAATCTCCTCTAAACTTTCCTGATTACTCACGAACCTGTAATCTGCAGGAAGTCTTTCCTCATAAGTCAGCCTGCTCAATTTTTGTACAAATAATTTTGACAGAGATTTTTTTTCATATTAAACCAAAAAGAACTTCTCTAAATTTTCAATCATTTGTTCTAATTTATCACTTCAGAACTACTTACAGTAAATTTCATCCCCTTTTCACTTGAAAGGCCATTGAATACTTGAAAATGGTTGTCATGTTTCATTTTTGTTCTTTTCTTCCAAGCTAAAATGTCCTGGTACCATCAACTACCTTTACTTAGATGTCCATTAAGCTGCAGTCTTATGGCTATGTCTCTGCAGTCTGTGTGATCCCTCTGTGACCCAAACTTTCTCCTCCATCATCGAAATATTAGATGTTCTTAAATGTTATACACCTAGCTTTCAATTTTTTTTCCCTCTATCTATATTCTTTTTCTAGACAATCATATTCAAATTATTGGCCAGGTATCACATCTGATGCCTAAATATAGCTTTGATGTCTTTTGAAAGAGGGTGCTAGTCCTACTGTGTTTTGTGTCTGTAAAATTTCTCATAATGTGGATCAACCATTATAGGATGTATAAATTCTAGTCTGATTATTTCCCTCCTACCAGAGTGTGTTTGTATATGTGTATGTGTGCATGCATGTGTATATGCATGTATATTTTAGGAGAAACTCCATGGTTTGGAGTTACAAAAGTATTTCTATACAGTGGTTTTCATTTGCTTCTCCTTAGGTCTAAAATAGTCACAGTAGCCCAGTGCAATTTTTAATATAAATTCCCTCTATAGGTAAGATAAATTAATACTCCACAGCCACACATAACAGGTTAGGGTTTCAATTTATGGGGTAATTATTTTCCTCACTTAAAGACTCTGGGTGGAGAGAAACTTTCTCAAAAGTTCTCTTGGTGAGTAGGCATAGCTTTTCTTCTTCCATCCTCTGTAGGAGGCAGTCTATCCAGTGTCTGGCATCTATTCAGGTTTCTTAGCTCTAGTTCTTCCCCTTCCCCTACCACCACCTGTCGGGTCTGCCACTGGCTGACCCAAACAGCCCTTGCCTTGCTATCAGTCTCTCCCTTGGTGTCCCTTCTGGTGGGTGGGTGGATTGCCCAGATTCCTCTTTTCCCAGTCCCGTTGAGAGGAGATGGAGGAAGAGAGCCGTGAAGAGAGGTGAGCACAGCCGCCGGCCCCAACCAGCCCATTAAAGGACACTCAGACGCGGTGGGGGTTCTGTTGAGCAGTTCCATTTATTATCACACAAGCACTTGCTTTTAAAGGCATATGGGGAAGGGAGGTTTTTACATCCTCCAGTCAGCTTAAAGGTTACGAGAGCATGCATCCTGTCTCAATGCCTAGCTATTGCAATCTGCAGTGTTCACAAGTGCAGAAGCGTGTATTTGGCCAATAAGGGCTAAGGCAAGGTTCCCGCAGACACTCCCACCCTACTTCCTCCCAGCGCCATCTTAGGCATAATGGCGCCACTTGTAATGTCACTTAAGGTGGTGTTAGTTTTTAAGGCCCGACAACCACCAACTGGTTTAGGCCTAAGATTTCAGCACTTGTCCCAATGTGAGCAATAAACTCCAATCCCTAAGCCTGAGGACCTCAATCTACTCTGATATTTTCTGCAGGCTATTGCAACATCAATGTTGGAGTACCTGCTCAGGCTTGAAGTTTCCTCTAAATTTCTGTCACCCAGAAATTTATCCTAGCTTCATTTTGGAATAAGCTATGCATTACAATTTTTTCTTATAGTCCATCTAGTATTCATAAGCATGTGTGTGTGCATGTGAAGGGTGAACTGTGTCTGTGTTTTTTCAGTCTAACAGTTGCTAAAGCTAGAACCTCACTGCATTTACCCTGGGCAGCTCAAGCTCTGTGTATCAAAAAATACACACATCATGACACTACTAAAAATCTTCCTATTTTGTCTGTGTTTCTGCCATAATTAACGGCACCCTATATTCTTGGTTTTCCAAGTGTGAAATTATGGAGTCATCTTAAATCCAACCTCTCTGTTCTCACATCCAGTTAATTACCAAGTTAATTTTATAAGTGCAATATTTTCCTTAACATATTCTAGCAATCTCATGAATATTATGAATATAATATTGATCTTTCAGAATTTTTGTGAAGGCTAAAAGAGATAAATAGACCAGATAAGAAGTACTGCAAGACTAGAATAGTAGACTGAGTATATTAGCTACCCCAAAATTAGTGACTTAACACAGAATTTTCACTTTACTTAGTAATATTTACGGATTTTCACAAATTCATGTATCTATTTAGAATGTAGAATTTTCATTTTACTTAGTAATATTTATGGATTTTCACAAGTTAATGCATCTACTTAGAATGTGTGAATAAAAATAAATATGGCACTTAACATGAACCTCTCACATAATTTTCTTGATTTAAATTTTCATTTTATTAGTTATATGTGCATGTACAGTGTCTGATTTCTCTTATAAATGGAAACATCTGTTTGAAAGGATAAAAATTAATTAACTAAACACTAAAATTTAGCCCTTATTGTCTGCCAGGCATTTTTTTTTTTGATATTTTATCTCATTTGATCTTTAGAGCAGTCCTGTAATTATTTATTATTGCTCCCACTTTACAAAAGAGGTAAGCTAGTCACTTGGAAGTTAAATACTATGATGATGGTCACAGGTAGAAAGAGGTAGAACCGTTATTCGAACACATGGAATCTGGCTACAGAGCTGCAAATACTGTCACCATCATGTTCTGAATATACATTAATCATATATTAATAGTGGGGTTGCTGTCCTTTGGGAAAATCCAATTTGTCTAGTCCATTCTTAAATATGGTACCCAAACTACAGTTTGAATTATATACTACACAAAAATGTAGTGGAACTCTTAACTTTCTAGTCATAAAGAGTGTATGTCTTTGGATTAAATTTAATAATGAAGTAGATCTTCTGGTAGCCACATAACAATGTTGACTTATATTGAGTTCACATATAAATGAAAAAACTGATTTTTTTCCATATGGATTAATCATAAATTTTTCTTCTCCGGGTTATAGTTGAGTAGTTGTATTGTTTTAATCTTTGAGAGACTTAAAATGTATCTCAACTAAATTGCATCTTCTTACTTTTAGCTCATTTAAAACTCATTGACATTTCTGTCATCTCTGTTTTGTCTTTTATAGCATTACTTATTTTTCCTAGGCTTCTGTCATTTGTTTTTAGTGTTTGTAAAATCACGTATCAAAAGTACTGGCAGCATATTAAAAAGTACTATTTTTCCATGAAAAAGGTAAAGCAATATTTCACTAATATAAAACTCATGCCATGTCTTTGTATTGATAGTGTTTTGTTAAGAAAATGCTCTAGAATAAGTAGACTTAAAAATCTTTCTGTGCTGTAAATCCATATCTCTGTATGAAAGAAAAGAAAAAATATTTTTCATCTCTTCCTGATATAAACTGTTCTAATTCTCCATTGGAGTGATTGTGGTGCTGGTGACAGAGCCGATGTGTTTTGGAAACCCACCTTGTTAGTGATATAGAAAAGGTATAGAAAAATACTGTAGAGTGATTAGCATGGAATTAAAGAAGAAAGAAAGATTTATCACCATATTTAATGGAAATTTATGGAAAAGAATAAGGTCAGACTAGAGCAGATATTTTTAATGAAAGCCTACATGTGCAAAGCTGAGATATAGAAAAACTAATGAAAAGCTCTTAGGACATTAACCTTAAAATCTGTGTATCTTAACTGCAGATGGCAATTTTGATTTTAAGAAGAATTTTTCATCCCTGTAGACTATATTTGTCATCAGTGATTTTTCAGAAACAGTTGCTTAAAGGGCAGTGCAATCAAGTAATTACAAAACAATTCAACACCATAATTTGTTGTCCCAAGTTTATTCTGAACTCTGGGAATCTGGTTTTCAGCAAGTTTGCCCTCCTGTACACTGACTCCAAAAACAGAAGCATTCTGAAACTCGACATGTGCCATTATGACTTTGTTTTCAAAGTGTTTTGCAGAAACCACAGACTTTGTGTAAGCTGAGTTTCTCTCTTTCTCTCCACCACTTCTCTCTTTCCTTCACCTTCTTTCTCCCCCTCCCTCCTCTTCTCTCCTATTTTATCTCAGTAATGTTAAGTTAGAATGAAGTTAGTAGGTTGAGTAAGTAAGTTAGCGTTAAATCAGTCCTGCCTTTGAAAATGTACTCACTGTGAATTGTGGCTTGAGTTACAGGATAACTGGAATCTTGAAAACTTTCTTTTTGTGTGGGAGCATATAACCACATTTCAACCACATTTTAGTCCATTTCCTCTTCACAGACAGAGAGGAAGTCTAAAGGTAAATTAGTGTCCTCTTGATTTCAATAAACAATAAGACATGACTCTTGTCATCTACAGCAAAACCTGGATAACATTATTGAAGCAGTTAAAAAAATATGCAGTATTCTGGGGTGTGTGGAAACCAATCAAATTACAGATGCAGTAAATGAACTAAATCTAATTCTTCAGAGGAAAGCAGAGGTAAACATATTCATTTATTATGCAGTAATTATTTTAAACCAGAGTTCAATATTTAATTGAGGAGAGTAAAAGACTCTGACTAACAACTATGTATCTCTGTGTGTGTGTGTGTGTGTGTGTGTGTGTGTGTCTGTGTGTGTCTGTGTGCGTGCGTGGGCATTTGTTTGTGCATGTCTGTCTGTCTGCATGCACAAAGAGTATATTTCAATCGTTTGGGGGTAACTGTAGCTTGATTCTATTATGCCAAATAGATTTAATTAAATTAAAAAGAAATTTCTTACACCTTTAAGGTTTGTAACTGCTCTATAACTTCCAAGTGAAACAAATCAATCCTGTAATTCTACCTAGATGAATGTGTTTATATGAAAGTAGGCATTATGTGGTTTTTTTAAAATCTCAGAAATCTGATGTAGAATTGTAACTGTGATTATTGCCCAAGAAAAATATTAGGAAATCTGGTCACAATAAATCCATTCATCTTGTTATTAGTTTAGTAGGTAATAAAGCCAAAATATATAATAGTAATTAATACTTACTAGCACATTGCAATATACAGAATAGTTTCACATATACATTACTTCATTCAATTTAATTTTTATTTTATTTCAATTTATCCTCACAGTGATACCATAAAGTGTTTTAATATTCATTTTATTATTAAAATCTGACATTTAGAGTGCTTGTGTACACAGGATTAATATATGGCAAAACAGATTTAATCCCAGGCCTCTAAACACATCCTAGTATATGTGAAACTTCATAAGAGAGAGTGCATACATGGATTTCTTACTTTACAGAAAAGAACACAGAGATTATATTAATTTGAATATACCAGCCTTGAAAGATTGATTTAAAACATAGACAATCGTATCATTGTAGTCTCTTAATGTTGGGCTTTCTATGTCTTATTTTAATCAGAATTTGTTTTGTATGATTAGACAGTAAAAGTAAATACAGAAATTCAAATACCTTATTTGCATGACATGAACAGCGACAGTCATGATTCTGAGGAGCCGTGAGGCACCAAAATATTTCAAAGATAAATCTTGATTAAAGAGTAAAAACACAGAGCACTGAAGAAATCAAAGTTTAAATAATACAATCAATAAATCCCCAAATTCAATGTCTAAGACAGATTTATGTTTATTTGCCTAATTTTTTTTTAATGGGGAAACACCTACCCTTTTACCCTCCAATTTTAGAAGAAAATGGAATAATTATGTAGTCCTCAAAATTGTTTTTTGTGTGTAAATATTAAGATCTATACTTTTCACAAATGATAAAAAGGTAGAAAATCTGATGTGGTCATATTTAAGTTGATCATATTTTTCTATTACGTGCCAGAGTTAAAAAAATTATACCATAATCTCAAAAACATACCACCAGTGTGTTTTAAAAATAAATATTTTCATGAACTTAAAAACTTGGGAATTATTTGGTGCTAAAAAAAAAGTCTTCTAATAGGTGAAGTTAAATCAGAAAAACAGAGTAGTAGAATTAACTTTCAACAAACAATTTCTCTTAGATTATCAAATTTTGAAGACATTAAAAGTACTTAGAGCTGATAATAAAATGCAATAAGCTTGGGGTGATGCAAACATGATTTGAATTAAAAATCTACCAGTTTCTAGCTGAACATCTTTTGGAAAATTAAATTGCTTCTCTGAGTTTCAATTTTTCTCATCTCTAAAATAGAAGTGAAACAGAATTTGAAGTGAACTTGTTCTCATTGGAAATCATTGTAATAAAAGGTGCAGATGGTAGCGTAGCTTGAATGAGAGGCATTATTATTGCTGGGTGTAGAGGGGATGGTGCTGGAGGTAGTTTCTGAGAATCTGCCCCATGAGGCCAAGATGACCAGGCTTCAATTCACACAAGCACAGATAGGTCCCCATCAACCTGTGGCCATTGATTACAGCCAGCCTCATGACAAATATGAACCGTTGCCAGAAGAGGAGACAAGATGTGGGAATGTGGACACGTGTCTTCCCACTTGTTCAGACTATTTCATTGTTTTTCAACTTTTACTTCCAGCTCTTAGTGAATTGGAAGAGACAAACAACTGACCAAAGAATGATGAAAATATAATTTTAGGATGAAGAGCTGCAAAAAATGTTGAGTATTTCTGGTCCTAAAAGGCTTTATCTTCAAAGTTTATTCATTTTCTGAAACTCCCTAAAAGGACAAAAATGACAATTTTCTCAGAAACATTAAACTTTCAATATATCTGAAGCCAAAAGGACCCTTCATGGAGATATTGGTTATATTCTAGAAAGGCTAAGAACAATTAAAATGCTCATGAAAAGCTCTTATTCCACATCTCATGTCTTATGTACTCATAAGCACTGAATTTTGTGTAATTTTTCTTTGCATCTTGTTAACTCTTAATGCTAAATATTTATTTATCCTGTATTTTAATAAAACTGAAGTGATTTTTATGCATTGAAATGAAGAAAAGAGTTCACAGTTATAAGTTTTACTTAATATATGCCCATAGTCTTGTTTTAAGCAGACTCTACTATGTATTTACTTTACATTATCTGCACTCATACATTCTATTCATCTTTTTCCATCCTATTTGAATTATGAGCCTACCTATATAAGAATGTTTGCACAAATAGTACATTTTACAGAATTTGTGCGGTAACCACCAGCAGTTAACAATGCCAGAACAATTCATTCTATACACTCACCATGAACCTAAGATCAGGAAATGATGTTAAGTGAAATAAGCCAAGCACAGAAAGAGAAATACCACATGACTTCAGTAAGGGGCAGTAAGGGAGGAATTGGTAAAAGGCTGTAGAAAATGATTACATTGTATAATGCTGAAAATACTAACTATCCTGATTTGAACATCACATATTGCACACAGTTATTCATATTCAACTCTGCACCCCAAAGATATGTACAACCAACTGTGCTACAATAAAAAAATTTAATTCATTAATTTGATTTTTTAAAAAAGGAAAGAAATACAGGTCTTCTGCCAACAAACTCTGAAATTTAACAAGCTTTTTTTTTCTTGGCTGTATTTTTGGTCAACTTGCATAAGACTATTTATGCCATACAGGGAAGTAGTTAGGTATTTATTAAATGTAAGCTTTGGCAAGATAAAGAGTTATATCACAATGCAGTTCTGTGTTCCTACCAAGCACTGGAAACAATTTTCCATCCTTCAAATTATATTCCAGAAGCGCACATAATATATTTCCATTTAAATGCTTACACAATAAATGAACCACAAAGTGAAAAATACAGTCTTTCACTTGTGATGTAGGTGGATGCCATGGTAATTTGATAATACAAGTCTGTATTTCTGAATAAATTGAATTCTAGCTAAGTCAGGCTACTGTTTTTAATAGTCTCGCCCACATGGATGGGTGAAGATCTTATGTGTAGTTGTTAAGACTAGTGGTTGAAATTATACTCAGATTAAAAAGAGAAATGCTTCTGAGAAGGTTCAAGTGAAAAGTTGTATATAAATTTGATTATATTTGAAACATAACAGAAATTTTCCCTCTTTAAATGAATTATGTAGCAAGTTCTTTGCTATAAGAAAATAATTATTCCCTGATTTATTTGTTTGAGAAATCTGACTTTTAACTAATTGGATTTCCTTAAAAGCAAACATTCAAATTTTTAATTTCCAAAAATTTTTAAAGCTTTAAATTTTTTAAATTTTTTAATTAAAAAAAATAGGTGCCAACTACAACAAATTTTATTAGAAAATTGAATTTTCTTTTGGGCTGAAACCTTATTTTTAGTTAATCTATGAATCACCTTATATAGTTTCTATGATAAAGAAGCTATAACTAGCAAATTCTAAACCACCAAACTCTAGGCTTCCAGCAAAGATAAAAATGAATAAACAATAAATAAGGCCACCACACTTATGGTCATGAACTTAAATGACAATGAAAATGGCAACAAAATAATACAATTTGAAGATTATATTTTTTTATTTAGGTTGTAATTCAAGGCATATTCTTTTTCTCAAGTGTTTGACTATCAGTTTGTTTATTTTATTTAATTCCCTAAATGGAAAGAAAGAAAACTATATTGTGAATCTGTATAATTTTGTCCACTTCATTCCAGCCCTCAGTGCTGCCCAAAGCTTGCACCTGAATGGCTGCTAATAATAAGAGGAGAATTAGAAATGCACTTATATCAAAAGATTAGTCACTGTCGTGGAAGAGGGGGTTGAGCTGTTATAACTTCATTAGAGCTGCCCTATTAATACTGAAAAGGCTGAGCCTACTCTAGCAATTTCGTTTTTAAAAAATCAAATAACTTACATTGTTTATTACAATACTTAGAAGGCTTTTCTTTTTGTAGAATTAAGATTTGTTCTGTTTTATAAGCAACATTCATACATAATACCAATTAATAGTTTGCCTTTTTATCATGCCAGAGAGAGAAATTTTAACGTGTAGACTTTGGGTGTTACTGGTTTGATCATTTTCTGAATTTATTGTCTGAATGACAAGTATATTTTTGCACCCCTTTTTTTCAGAATCTTAATCAAAATTCAGAGACTTCAACAAAAGGTAAAACACACATTATTCAAATGTCTAAAATTAAATAAAAGAAAAGAAAAAAAACTTAAGTTGTAGAATCCGAAATAATATTTTCAATTTCTCATGCAAATACTGTTTGAGCACACACACGCACTTGCATGCGCACACACACACCCAAAATAGTTTTTCAAGGGGAAAAATGCTTTTTACTAATGGAAGTGATTATTCTGCAAGGAAATAAAAACCACACTCTCTCTAAACTTTTAGCCTGATTTTTTTT